CAAACAATGTTATGTTGATGAGTCTGTACAGACTAAAAATATTACATTTTGTTCCCGCAATCTTTTAACCCCAGAAAGGTTTGATAACTCTGTGCTATAAAGCATGATAAATTTATGGAAATTTTCCAAGTATAATCTGTAACACGTCTCCTGCACTTTAATATGCAATGAACTAATTTCCCGTTGTTTTCAAATAGTATCAATTCTACTTCGGATATATACTATACAAAACACACCACCAGGATAAGGTAAGGTAAGGTATATGTCATGATTAATAGAACAGCGTGTCAGAAATGACAGCAGACGCATAAATAATTCCAAGATGTTCGTAAAACATGAGAATATACTAGAGCAAAATTTATAAAGAAAAACATTTTTGGAGTTCTGTATGTTCTAACAAATCCTCGGACAGATACTTCATATACATTGCACTAAATCAAAGTTTTATGTTTTTGTGGAAATTATATATAATTTGAGTCAAAATCATCTCTAATAATACAATGCTTTATTATAGTACAATATTCATTTTAGGTATAGGTATTTCAAAAATATAATATTGTTTCATTTATAATTGTTATTAACTTTGACTTATATTCCAATAAAGAAATGTTGGACATCATAATTGTCATGGGAGTCATAACTGTCTGACGCTAAAAAGTTCTACATGAGTCGTGTCAGACATACGGGATTAGAATGCATCTAAAAATTTAAAATCTAAGACTAAAAAATCAGAATGTAGTACCATGTCAGTCAAAAATGTGAGATATAAAAAGTAGTGTTTTTTCAGGAATTTTTCAAAAAAAAATGTTTTTCTTTGATACATTAAGTTTTCTCGATACATTTTTATCTAAAATATCAAATGAAGTTACCAAGGCCCATGTGATTAAAAAAAACTCACAAATAACGTATTTTTTTAAGAAAAAAAAGTAATGAAAAACTATAAAAATTACAGAATAAATTGCTTTTGCAATCTAACATAATGCATCAAAAAATATAGATATTTAATTGTAATTCCTAGTAAGGTAATTAATGAAATTAAGATGCATATGAGAAAATTTATTTTATACAACATTTTATTTAAATCGTGTGTTTTTTTAATCTTTTATATTCTCTTAATAATAATGTCATCAAGAAAAGCAAATATAATAGAAATAGACAAGAAAATTGCGTGGAAGTATCTATTTCCACTTATATTGAAATTAAAAAATGTACGGTATAAAATTACATTATTAATATCATGATTGATATTTTTCTTTTCAATCTTATTATATGAGATACTAGGCACTATTGGAAATATAATTATATATGGAATAAAAATAAAATTACTTCCAGATAATAAATTGGATTTGAACCAAAAGTTTCCAAATTGTACAGTTTAATATGCTGTTTACAAGAATTATAGGAAAAAAATCAGAAACTAATGTCTAATCAAACTAAAAACTAACATAAAATTTTAGTAGTGCGTGGCATCGTGCACCAAGGCAAATTACTGGAACTTCCCGTAGCAAAAATAACATTTTTTAGAAAATCTTCTGAATTTTTTGAAAACTTGGAAAATTAGACTTTTGGTTTTAAATTTTTGGTAAAAAATTACTGAATAAAATGATTTTTTTATATAAGTATTTTGAAACGTTTTTGAAAATTTTAAAACTTTTCAAAGCAATCGCGCTGCCCAGCTGTTTAGGAGATAATTTATTGAATATAAATAAATAAAATGTTTTTTTGAATCATTGAAATCGGACGCACGTCTCCTGATCAGTAGGAATGGAAAGTTATTTGAGTTATTCAAATCGGTACGATTTGTGTTCTCGAAATCGTCGACGAAAATTTGTATCCGCACATACAAACATACATACATCAATTTTATCTAAGGTATGCCAAAATGTTCAGAAACCTTTGAAACGTGAAGATATGCCAACCATTTTTATTTTCGATTTTTTTTCAATTACTATAACTTAGCCTACGGAAAGTTAATAAAGAATTGCAAAGCAATTTCAACGAATTTCTTGCTATATCTGTATCACATATCATCTTATATATACAACTTATAATGAAAATGTCGAAGTGCATTTCAAGCGTAAATTCGATTTTGCTATGATTTATACTCAGTCTATAAAATGTCTCAAATTATATCATCACAGAAGTTATGAGTAGTTTTACGACTGAAACTTCAATGTGCGTTTATTTCCCCCAGATGAAAATATACAGAAGTTCAATACACCTTTGTCGTTTAATTATGCGACAAGGGAGTGATCTATTAATTATTTATCATGCCTAACCATATATCTTATAAGTGTCTCGTTTCAGTGTTACATTGAACACGGCTGTAACTTTTACTTTATGACTTTGGCTCCTGAGGGTGTACAGCATAATGTATGATGCATGAAGCAGGCTAACTGTATATCTAAACGGTAAGGTTCTTTTACACGCCTATATAAAGAGGATAAAACAGCCCTCGAGTCGCGTGTTAAACGCACCACTGTATAATTATTCAATTTTCAACAGAGTGTTATGCCGTATTTCTTTTTCGTATATTAAAGAAAGATTAATTTAAGATATTAAACAAGTGATGCATGGCATTGTGCCTTGAAATATTTTTTCAATTTTTGATTTTTTTTTATTTTTTTTTAATTTAGTTTTTTTTTAATTTGTTTTTTTTTAATTCATTTTTTTTTTTAATTTTAAGCTTTTTCAAAGCAATCGCACTGCGTTAGCTGCGTATAGACAAAATATAAAAGCACTTAAGCGGCGCGTCGCAATTTAAAAGATAAACATTGGTACGGAACCCATAAAAATGCGAACAGAATGTATTATTAAAATATATTAATTAGATCTATATAAAATAGATGATAATTTGATATGCGTGTGTGTAATGACCATTTTTGACCGCCTAACAGCATTTTTTTTTTACTTTTTTCATTGTATCTCCGAAACCGCTAGACCCGCTTTTCCAAAAATTAAATCAATATAAGTAAAATCTTTTTCGAATAATTCGAATCGGAGTTCACTGAATAACTGAATTATCATTTTTGGCACTTTTTGCACCGTATCTTTAGAACGGCTGAACCTGTCTCAATCAAAAAGTAATCATACACACACACACATACTCACAAATACATCAATTTTTTTAAGGTATGCCAGAATGTTCAAAAACCTTTGCCAGGATATACAAAAATGATAATATTTTAACCTGCAGAAAGTTAATCATTAAAAAGCAATACAATTTGTATACAATTTGTATCTTTATGTAAAAATCAATGTATGTATTTAAGTCAAATAAAGCAAATTTTCAAAATTTTTTTTAAATTAAAAGGCAATAAACTATGCAAATTATAGTACGCCGAATATCGTAAAATCATTTTTACTAAGCTTTTTTGTTAGGACAACAATATTATTAGATTTATTTATTATTATTAGAAGAATATTTTATCTACTAAACCCGGTATATATAAGTTTACTGTCTCTGGGATGAATTTTTACTTCGCATCCTAAGAAAAATCTATTATCAGTAATTATGAAGCTATATATGCAAATAGAATTTTAAAAAAAATTAAACATATATTTTGGTAATAATGAACTGTGATTTTCAAGTCACAGCAGCCTTTAAGTTAGCTCTTCTGTGTATTAAAATGTAATTTCAAGTTAAGAAGTCTAGCAACGGTCATAATTATCGATATTGGTTATCTTGAAAACAGAATTAAGATTTGTGATCTCACGAAAAAAAGCCATAATTATTTGGTAAAATATCGAATCTGCGATATAGCAAAACTTGAATATTGCAACTCCAGAGACTACTAAAGCTTGAAGATTGATTACCAAAGCGCCCTAGTGTCTCTCAAATAAAGTTATACATAGCAATCTAAAAGTGGATTCAGTACATGAATTAATAAAAAATAGATGTATATCCCATTTTAACCGATTCAGAGACTACGAAATTGCTGAAGTCATATTGATAGCTAACTCTTTGAATACAATGTAATTAGGGCGCTCATTAAAGAGTTACCTATACAAGCCATAATATGAACTCAAATCAGTTTGAGTTCAATTAGATCCTAGTAGCTCATAGAATGTCTATACTGATTGCTATTTAATTGTAAATAAAAAAAATTGAAACATTTTTTCAATTGATCTTCCTATCAATAGGAATCTAATGTTTTTGAACCATTCAAATCGGTTGATCCCTGCGCCCGAAAACGTGGACGAAAGATTGTATCCATACATACATACACACACACACATCCATTTTTTCTGAGGTATGCCAAAATAAAAAAAATACCTCATAAAGGGTTAAATAAAGTATTTCACCCGTACCAATGTATCGCATTAGTAGTTTTCTTAAAACCACATGCGATTTAAAAATATATTACCGCGACCTAAAACGAATGCGCTTTCGGCTAACATGCTAAAGAAATTGGGATTAAATCCCAGCGAACGACGAAGAGAAAAATTAATGTAACATCGTATACATATATCAAATTTGTGTAATATATAAAAAACATACCTGTAGTAGATTATATATTTACAAATATAAGTATAAAAATAGAAAACATAATTGAGTGAAAAAGATAACTGTGGTGAAGGAAAATGTAGGAATGTGAAGAAATTCTGTTAAGCAAATGTCAATAATGAAAACAAACTGCTGAAGAAAATGCCTATTAAATACAAAAATATCAGTTAGAATAAAACAAAACTCGTAGTTGAATTATACTTATAATTTTTTTATAGAATTAATTAAGCTTGTTTTATATTTGAATAGCTGAATTGAAAATAAAATATATCTGAATCATTTTATTCATGATTATACATTAAACTTATAAATATTGGAGTGATTAAACAGAGCCAGATATAATTATATTTCATAGGCAAATTGTAGTAAGCTGTGTATTTCTATATACAACTGAATATTGATTCATCGTTTACAATAGTGAAATTAATTATTCATTGCATGCGTGAGGTTAAAGAAAACATCTTCACGTCACTCTGAAAACATAACTTTCAACCTTTCTCAAAGCTGCCGGTAAAATGTTGATAGTTTCTATCGTTGAGCGATTTTGGTGTGCTGAGGGGGGTTGTGGGTGCTGACGAATGTAGCGCCGTTTTGGAGATATTATTGCCTACTTTATAATAAGGAGGTGTACTAGGCGTCGTGACCGCAGACGACGGCCCCGAGCACAGTTCAATATTATCTTTGACGTCCACCGGTGAGCTGGCAGCAAGGACAGGCTCGCCGGATGCAAAAAACGCTTCAAAGTTTCTTTCTCGCAAATTATCGCGTGTGAATGTCGGATTTGCGATACGCAGATGCACTGATTCCCGTACGCGTGTCGCGCTATTACAATCGGGAGACTTGGAGCGTCTGTCCGAATGGAGATTCAACAAGTGTCTCAGCGGCGATGAACGCGCTGACGCCTGTCTGCTGCCGTTGCTCGCCGGCGGACGCGGCGGTAAAAGCGACGACGGTGAGCGGGCCCTGCTGGCGCTTCGTCGCTCCACTTCTGCAGAGCTCGACTTTTTTCTTCGCTCCACGCTTGTTTCCTCCCCGTGTGAGTTCGGTGCTCGAATCGCGTTATCGGCTTCACTATTTTCACTCGAATGTCGATTTCGACAAGACGATTGTGATGAGAATGAGTGATGCTGATGCTGATGTTGTGAATGCTGATGCCGTTGATGATATTCGTCAATTGCGACCCCAGGATCTCTAATGCGGTCCAATGTCGGTCTATGCTTTGGTATCAAGTTAATATTGCCGTATGTGAATAATATCAATTCATCGGCTGGATAAATCACGTACATTCCTGTCTTAAACGATGCATGGCTAAAGATTCCTGCTGGCTGACTGTGCTCTCACCACCTCTAGAACCAGTCGCAGGGTCACGAGCTATCTCTCGTTTCGGTACCACACTTAACTAACTAATGGTGACACAAAGCTGGGTCGAACTATAAATTTATGACACGGTACTATTTTCGTTTAAACTTTTAGACACTTACATGCCAAATAACACTACTTCACATTTAAGCACGCACTTTTAACATATATCTACAACTAACTATTATTAATTTAATAAACTATATCACAACTTGCTTTAAACAGATTCTGAAAAAAAGATTACAAAACACAGATGTGCCATTTAGAGGGCGACGTCGCGTCTGGTTCTTTCCGTGATTTATAAAAAAGATTTTGACATAGCCGCACCGGGATCGCGCGAGTGATATAAAATTAAAAAAGCGAAAAACGTCAGTCCGACGGAGCGCTATACTTAATATACGCTCAGGACGTAATCATAACAAACACTGACCGTGTGACAAGCAAACGGCTAAAAATATTTCCGCGATAGATCGGAGGGACAACGCCGTGAGATCTCGAGGCCCGCGTCCAAATTTAACGAGCTGCATTTGCGAAAACTATCAGTCGCGGACGATGTCATATACTACATCGAATACACTCATTTACAGTCATTAGAGCCTAATACTAGCATAGTTGTACACGCAACATACACTCAATTTTGGCATTACTTAGAGCTTAATTGTCGCACACAATTCGAAGTTATTTAATCGTAACAATTGAGAGAAAACTGAGTTTGAAATAGTTAAATTCAAGCTATGCGCTGTATAAGTTTTATATTTATAATTTTGTATTTTTGAAACAAAGCAAAACAAAAAAATGCAACATCCATGCAAAACTATTATAAAATTGCGTATTTCAGAGGAACTATAGATATAAATTTCAGATAAGAGTAAAGTTTTTATTGAGTGCAGGAGAAGCAAATTGTATAAAGTGCAACACAAACATCGAAAAAGTGCGCTTATTTTTTTTATTAATTGTACTCACACAATAACATGAAGATGTCAGGTCTTGTTGTTAATATCGATAACAAAAACTGATCGTGAACGACAGTGATGCGAGATGATTTTTATTCGAACACATAATGTAGGACCGGAAGTATTGCATCAAGCGGAGCGCGTCCAAGAATAATTCTTCCGAACGTCGACCGTATAAACTATTATTGCAAGCGTCGTATGCTTATAAAAGAAGTATTAGAACGCAAAGTTAGCAAAGATGACTCTTTGCTCACGCACCGTTGTGTAACGGATTTTATTAAATAAAAAGCTGTGCATGAGATGAGGTAAGACACTGTTATACATTCACGGTTGCTCGTTGTATAAATTCGTACGTCGCCTGACCTTGTTCAGCCTCGTTGTGTGTCTATTTATCGCATCGCGGTTTTGTGTCGTGTCGTGTTGTGTTGTCTTATGATTTTGCTTGATTTTTTTTGCTATTTCTCCGTGTTCGCGCGCGTTTCGCTCAAGTCGTGCCGAAATGTAGGTCGAGTTTCGTAGCACACCGTTCCGTTGGTCTATTTCGATTTGGTAGTTGTTGCACACGTCGGCGTCAGGACGCTACTGACTCCGCGTTGAGTCGACTGAACGCACACCGAACGGTTGTAAACTCTCCCCACGCGTTTCAGAGCCTGATATACCGGAGCCGCCGCCGGAAGATTGTGCGCAAACCATTGAGGACAAGAGTCCGCGGCAAAACGCCGGTGGAGAGTTTCAACGGACGGCGAAAGCTCAAAGCTCGGCGCTTCAAGCGCAGCGCTCGAACCTAGCGCAGGTACCTGCGTCACCTCCACAAACGTGATCAAGTGGATGTCGTTGGCTGAACAGACATTGGATTGTCCGACTGTCTCAATGACGCTGCATACATGATTATTTTTCGTTTCAAAAAGTAATTAACTGAAAATGAAAAGCGTGGCAGATGGTTTGACGAATGTTTTTGTCATTCTTAATTTAAAAAATAGCAGATCAATATAAAAATTTGCTTGGTGAATTGGAACGAATATATGTAATTATTTTCCAACCCACAATTTAAAATAATTTTGTATTTAACTTTCCATAGGGTAAGTTACAGTAACCGCAAGTAATCAAAAATAAAACTTTTTATCTTTACGTTTCAAGGGCCTTTGAACATTTTGGCATACCTTAGAAAAAATTTATATGTGTGTATGTATTATGTGTATGTGTGTCTGTATGTATATTTCATTACACTTTTTTGCGCACGATATAGAGCGCACGGATCAACCAATCTGCATGAATAAAAAAACATTCGATTCCTATTGATAGGAAGGTGAGCAGACGAGTTTCTGGAAAAAGTGCAGCCGTTGCAAAGATACCGGGCAAAATGTGCCAAAAATGGTAATTCAATTTTTGAGAGACCGGAGCGTCCGATTTGAATGATTCAACCAACATTTTCTTTGTAGTGACGAAATGAAACCCTGAATTAAATTTTTGGAAAAACCAACTTTTCAAAATTTCCAAAAATCAATTTTCACAATTTTTTTTTTTTTCACAAAAATCAAAGGTTCACCAAATTTTAAATTATAATGTGAAAATTGCTAACATATCACGAAAAAATACAGATACATAAAATAACGCGGTAACCATATTTTTGACGCTATTTTTTTTACATATTATTTGGATGTCTTATGCACTTTTCACACGCAGTTTTATAGCAATACATAAAAAAATACAGCTCCTAATTTCGTTGCATGAAATATTTCATGTAATTCAAATTTCTCATATATTTCGGATACAAAATTAGACTCTTTACAGTAGAAAAATTATCTTAATTAAACTAATTACACAACAATACAAAGCTAAAACGATACTAAGCCTTATATCAGGTGATGCAATTTACTATAACTTGAAGAAAAATGCTTATAATGATGTGACAGACCGTCTAAAAGTATGATAATGGGATGTTAGTTCCTAAAATAGGTAGATGTCTTGAGATTTTTCTGACGGTACAAGAATTCTTGTAATTCGAGTTTCAAGTGACGGGATCATCTTGTTTGTTAGCAATTTTATGCAAAATAACATAATATAATCAAGTTTAATGCATCCTTGTCTTCTCATTACTATTGAAAGTATATATTTCAAATAAATCAAATACAGAAGAACCTCGATTAACCGGATTAATTGTTGTCGATATGCATTCGGATAATCAAAAACCCGGATAATCCAATGTATGGAGAATAATGATATGTATCAAAAATAACAAATGCCTACATAGACATAAAAAAATCAATTTTTAATAAGAAATTAACATTTTCTTATATTATATGTACATATATATTTTCTTAATTATATTACATACATATACTAAACAGCAGCATAAATCGTGCAAAAAATCGAATTGTAGGTATGTACATACGTACAACTCTGTCGCGGTTGGTTGTCCGGATAATCGCGAGTCTGTATAACTGAGGTCCGGATAATCGAAGTTTTACTGTATATAATCTTTGTTTGCCAAACAATTGTCAACCTGTCAATTTGATGGATTTCCGTAGAGAGAGATATATCCCATCTGAATTTTAAAATTTAGAATGTTTATCAAAATTAGCTTTACATATATTATAATAGATAGTTATCACTAAAATTTTAAATTAACAACACAAATTAGTTAAAAGTTTAGTACTATGGTTTTTTTAGTATTTCATTTCGAAGTTTAAATTCCGTTAATTTGACAGGCTTCGTAAATTCAGTGTTAAGAATATTCACATTCACTAAACAAGCGTAATTTAAACTTCGAAGTATATCAAACATTCTGCGATTCTTCGATTTTAGTAGAACAAAAGTCGCAGATATCATTATTACCTACTATATACGTACATAGTTACGTTTTGTACAAATAGTAATTATCGTTGCGTGCGGAACATATAGTTTATTCATAAATTATATGTACTAGATGATTTCATATAGAATCGATTAGCTAGAATATAAATAAATAATAGCATATTGAATGAAAAAGTATCATTTACAAAACTTCTTCCACTACCTAAAAAGAAATACTTCAGGTTAACGATGCGCTGAACGTTACAATGCAAATAGAAAAACCAAAATCATATTGTAACGTGACCTATTTATCGTGTCGTGAACCACACTTATGATAGAGGATTCAAATAACTACGACAAAGCGAGTTTTTAGTGGAACGCAAACAATAACACGCATATTAACTTTTTCAATTTCATGCGACTTCAAATATGTTGACGCTTCAATGAGCTAGAATAATATTGGAAGAAACAATGTGAATAGGAAAATATAACTGAACAAACAAGAGGGTAGACTGGGTACGGTTGTGCCATATTTTTCATCAATTATTTTTCTGATTTATCAATTAGCTGGAAGAAAATGAATTAAATGATAATTTGAACATTTGTCTACGTGGAAATACTAAAGTACTGGTCTTAAGTACGATGGATTAATCATAAAATCAAATCATACAAAAATAGGGCAATTTCTACAACCCTCCACTCTCGCAGTCAAAATAGTTTATAACGTTTTTTATCATAAGAAATTTGTAATACAAGATAACAATCATTTAAACAAAGCTTAGGAATATAATATCACAAAAAAATATTTTTTTTAAATGGTAACAAGAAATCTTTATGAAATTTTTTTAAGTAAAACTCCTTTAGGCGCGACTAGGGTGTAAATCTGTGCAAATGCAACTGAAAAGCGTTACGGCCGAGTCGAGTGACAATGATTCGTCATTCATTTCTATACGGGTTGATTGTGATTGGTCGTCGTGTCGCGTGAGAGGGTTCTTTGATTGTATGCGTATGAAAATAATAAAACAAATAAAAAATGTGTACCGTGTAAAGAAACGTCAATTTATTGAAGTGATTTGTATATTTGTAGTTACTATATATTTTTGAGGTTATTAAAATAGAAATTATTTTGATAGGCAACCTAGATACTACAGCTATTCAAAGAATAAAACTGTATCGCCAGC